ACCAGGACGAAGCTGAGAACATCATCCTCCAAATGTGTCACATAATGGAGTGGACTGTCTGCTTATCTCTGGGAGAAAAAAAAAACAACTTAGACTGTGGGGCAATCGTGCTTTCAGGAGAAAACTTTAATTTTCTACGCTTGCAGTGTTAATGGAGTCCTAGGCAGTTCTTTAGTGATTCTGATGCAAACCACGAATGCAGCTGTGGAAAAATAAAATAAACTCCTCGGCCATTTAGTTGTTGAATATATTGCATCCAGCTTCTGCGTCATCTGCAGTTAGCTGAGCGATAACCACAATCCCCTCAGGAGTAAACTTATTTTCTCCTGAAAGACTTGTCATAACAATGTATTTGATTTAGGATAAAGCGCTGCAGCGCTGCACTATGGAGGAGCGTTCAGTGGAGCAGGCTAACCGTTGTGTGAAACATCTACTTATCTCCTCATTTTCCCATTATTAGATGGAATTGGATCAACAGCAGACTTTGTACAATATTAGACTACAGCAGAGAGTATCTGGATACACATCACACTGTCACGGCAGTTAATGGAGCATGGAAAAGAAGCAAAACTCTTTGTAGCTTAGCACGCAATCTAAAAAAACAAACTGACTGAAAATAAGAGAGGAAACAAGAAACAAGACTACAAAAATAAAGATACGTCATTACTGCAGCGAGTGAAGCAGTTACATGAATAAATGACCAAATTATAAATACAGCAGCCTAATTCTGTTGGAGTCAAGGTCCATGACTGCACTCAATTGTTCCGAGACATTACTAAATATGTTTCGGTGTACTACATGGAGTAGATACTATTTTTTTTAGCATTTATTTATTTAAGTTTACAATAAAACCAAATACTTCGGAGACAAAGTAAGTGTTTATCTACATTTTTTTTAAGAATGTTTTAAGTTTTGGTTGCCATTTTTGTTTCAAGCTTTTTTCAAAGAATGTCACTTGTGCGTTGGCTTTGCTCAAAGCAGCCGGTTTGAAAAGGTATATAACATGAACCTGAATATACCCTGCAGTGCTGAGTGTGTGTGTGTGTGTGTGCGCGCGGGTGGATCTCTCAGTCTATTTGTCTACAGAATGTTCCTCTCCTCTCTGGAGACTCTGGAGACATTTGGTAGGAATATTCACCATTAAAATACAGGACCACAGGGGACACCAGCTAAAGATAGGCTGCAAGGAAACAGACCCAGCAATCCAAAGCATATGTGGTTTGATATTCCATTTGATAAGTCCCTACATCCTGAACTAAATTATTTCATATCCAAAGAAACAATGTGAATTTCATGTCTGCGAGACCAGAGGAAAGATATGTGCACTGCTCATAAGTGGCTCCACATGATCCTTCTATAACATCCAGTATTCTGTGAGCCAAATTCAACAATACAATCATGTGGAGACAAAAGAAAATGTATTATGATTCAGGCAACTCTTCACTGCTGATCATAATACACCAAGGACGAGGTGCAGTATCTTCTAAAAACTGGTTCAGAAGTAACATGTACAGGGATGCTACAGTTTTGTTAAACCTTTTGTTTGTACCAAACCAAGGTTTGTTCAGTGAATATACAGAGAGTGAAGTACTTCATAGAACAAAGGTATATTGTATATAAGCTGCATGTTGACCCATGTAATGCTGTTTATTTATATGTTAATAGTAACAGTTTTAACTACAAACTATCTTAGGTACATTTGTAGTTATTGTAGTAGCAAATTCATATGTGCTTTGTTTGTGCTTTAAATTATTTAAAAAGAAATATGCATAAAAATAGTGACATGTATAAAGTCTGAGGACGGGACAATGGGCACGACCACACCTGCTGAAGCCTGAGCACATCAGGACACTTCGCTGACTAAAGGTCTGCTCAGGCAGCATCACAGTCTACTGTTCCTGGGTGCAGTTCTATGAAGGTAGTGCTCACACGCAGCCCTGGGGGGACTGTAGTTCTCCCAACCTCAGATGAACTTTGTCACTCCTACACAGGTTACCCACAAGACTGTTATCCTTGGGCTGCAGAAGAAGTTGGACTACTTTATTATTCCTTAATATAGTCAAACTTGGACTGAAAAAAAAAACAAATGCTTTTAGTGAGTCAAAAACAGCAGTTCCATGAAGTGATGGTTGTCAAATTTAATTCCATGATTGTTAAGAATTACCCTTAAGATATTGCTGATTTATCATGTAAACAAACCTACAACGACAACCTGAAAGCATAACAATTCCATCTGCAAGCTGGTGCCATTACAGATGCATAAAAAAGACTAAGAAATCTAATATAGCCAAGGGTGCATCCTGGAGATGTCGTCAGTGCTACAAATTATTTCAAGGTGGACAACGGTGGAAAACAAAAGCAGAGGAGCAAAAATATTCTGTGTTCCTATTAAGCATTTTTAAATTATAACTGTTTAATAGAATATTTTCGTGACAGGAGTTATTAGAATTTTCTTTTTTTCAAAATTTGATTATCACAATTAATCAGCATTGTTATTAATTACATATAACCATGACACATTTTGATAAGAAAATACTTCACTGGGACAGAAAGACAAATACTGTGAATGTTTATAACTTAATAATGTCAGTTTAATTTGAATATATCACTGCTTATTATAGACTGGACTTTATGAATTAGGAAACAAAAAACAGTCTTTTTAAATCTTCTTTTTTTTTCTTTCGGCTTTGTTCCTTTTTTTTTTCCAGGAGTTGCTACAGCAGATCATTGATTTCCATCTGTCCCTGTTCTCTGCATCTCCTCCTCTGACTCCAACTATCTGCATGTCCTCCCTCACTGCATCCATAGATCTCCTCTTTGTCCTTCCTCTCTTTCTCCTACCTGGTAGCTCCATCTCTAACATTCTTCTACCAATGTATCCACTGTCCCTCCTCTGCACATGTCTTTTTAAATCTGTCCTTTTAATTTATATATAAAATCCTCATTTCTCATCTCTTATGACTTATGAGACCGTCTCTGACCTCAGTATTCTACAAAGCAGCTGCCGACTAGACAGGCTCATTCTCCAGACTTATGAGACCGTCTTTGACCTCAGTATTCTACAAAGCAGCTGCTTTTTAATCTGCAAAACCCACAAAAAATTTAAGTGTGTGTGTGTGTGTCTGTGACACGTGTTGGTCATCAAAACGTGTCTCACAGACACACAGGTAGTAAAAGAGATAAAAATGAGAGAAAGCGGCGTCGACGCCTGGGACTGGCCGTCAGGGAAGTGTGAGCAGAGCGGTGGAGACAGGAAGATGCAGGTGTTTGGCTGCTTCCAGGTGTGCAGCATGTGTTAATGCCGCTGTGTGCCTCCACTCGGCTGTAAGGATAATGCCAGCCAGCAAAATGTTGAAATGGGCACAGCCACGGCTCACACTGAGAAGAATGATTTTGACAAGGGACTGTCAATGATTGCCGCTTCACACACCTTTATCCAAAACACACACACCTGCAGCAGGGATGGAGTTTGACTGTCCCGCTTTTACACACACACTTATACTCTCTCTGCATGCTCACATATACTAATCTATGTATTGTGTGTATATCTGAATCAGAATTTCAAATTAAAACAGCCATTGATAGAATAGAATGTATAGAAAGTGAGGTTTCAGGTCAAGTTTCTCCAGTAAATAATAAAAACATTTCTGAGAATATTGCTGTAGTAAAACAGCGTTTGACTACGGTGGAACTCTGAGTCCCCAACGGTATATGATGAATAAACTGTTGGTATAAATGGAGCACTCACTAATTCCATGATGAACATGCAAACGTGTCAGTGTTAACATGACTATAAATAGTCCCGGCCCCTCGCCTCTCCTGGGACTAATGAAAGGACGGAGTCCCAGGAGTGGGAGAGGAGTCACTGCAGCACAGCAGTAGAAATAGACAGTGGTTACCGTGTAACCTTCATGGCTGCAGCCAGCAGTAAACATCTGTGTCATTAGGAGTGTGAGCTCCAGAGGATGAGGCCTGGAAAAAAATATCAAAAGGCAATTAGACAACCTCAGGCCAGCTGCTCTCCATCCCTGGGCCTTCTTTCTCTTGGAGCTAATTACATAACAAAGACAGTCTTTAATCAGGTCTTGCCTGGTCCTTTCCCTGCACACATTACCCATTAGTTTCCTTTCTCCTCCTCAACCCTCCCCCCATCTCCTCCGTCCCCCATTCTATCCTCCCTCTGCCCGCTCCCAGATTACAGTTCTGTTAAACAAGCGAGACAATTTAGAAATGAAGAGAACTGCACACCTGGTCAGAGATAGCCATACGACAGTTTTTAAAAACTAAATAAAGTGAACAAAAAAAAGTGAAGAGAAGAATCGATTGTTTTTGCTGCAGGCAGCACAGAACTGGAATAGAGTGTTTTTTCTGGACCTGTTTGGGAAGGAAAAAAAAAGTTTTCTCTGCTGCTCCAGGTTATCTTTCATTTATTTAACAAATTGACAAATGTTTTTTCTAATAGTCATATTTCAAAAAGAGTTTGCTAACGAACCTGGTTTTGAACAGACTCTGGACTGGATTGACTCCAATAATCTATGGTTCATGTTACACCAGTGACGTGAGGTTCATGTCTGCTGAGGCACTGACTTCTCTGGAGTCAGATTTACAACAGTAAGAAAATGAAAAGAGCATCAACATCATCACCTGGTCATGGTTCATATCCATCAACATTACTCTTTCACTGACACTGACACTGACACCAACATATTCACAGGAACACATTTGCTCTACAAAGAACGATTATTTTATACAAACGGACAGAACTCCTTCCTGTGTCTAAGAAACTCATATTTACTGTAAACAGTAAAGTGTAAAGTCTAGAGATGAGAGCAGCACTAATTTAATTTGGACCTTCAGGAAAAATACAGTTTAAATTCTGGTGTTTTAATCAAAGGTTGTCCATCAAAATGAAAAGAAAAAAGTTTAGAAAAAACTTTAGTTATCGAATACTTTTTTCTACTTACTTCCATCTTATTTTTAAAAACCATAGTCAGCCTTACCTTTACTTCTAGCTGAAGTCCGTGGTTGTGTCTCTCGGTTTCCCCTCACCTTAACATCGTCGAGGCTAATGTTTAGTCTCCGTTGTTCATCCGATGACAAATCGATCCTTGAATTTCCAGAAGTTTCTAAATAAATCTGTCTTTGAATGTTCGTGTCTGATCTTCCATGTCTGCTGAGGCTTCTTTGTAAATGTTTCAGGTCACAGTATTCCAAGTTCGTCCAGACGTTATCACACGACGACAATAAAAAACAAGGACAGCAGTAATGGCGGTTTCTGACCGGACAGACACACAGACAGTCTCTTCGTTTGTACCTCTACATTTAAAAACAACGACTCTTCTGTCCCGTAGTTTGAAGCTAACCTGTTAGCTCCGGCGTTAGCTTCCATTAATTATCACCTGCTGTTTGGACCGGAAGTTGCGTTTGGAGAAATGCTTCCGTCTGAATTGTTTGTTGACTCCAGTTGGAGAGCACCTGTCAGTTCACGTACG